AAACTTGGAACCTGTTGCGGTACTGCCCAATCTATTAGAAACAATGAACAGATAAGTTACTCTACGACAACTTCGTAAGTCAACTGAGGCTTTTGAAGAAATTTCAACGATCTGCCCTTTCATATACTCTACACTACTGTATAGTTAGCTTTCTAACCATTTATGAAGAACTCGTCCTATTACATGGCTCTACAGTTGCCATGATATTGAATCTCTACAAATCTACTCTCTAATGAAACATTTCTCAAGTCTTTCTTGTTTCCGACTTACGGTGAGTCACGAGCAGCCCCGCAAAATGCATTCCCGTGACATACATTGCCAAATACATGAAAGCAGGACATCATGTTGTGATGAGGTATTAAAAAACAAATTTTTTACGAATAATTCATATCGCTCGATAACAAAAAGGCAGAAACCGTTGAATCCGCACTTAATTCCAAAATTTTGCGAGAACTTAGGCCTAATATTTATCCTATTTTTCATAACCAATCTGAGCAGTAACACAATAGCACTGAAGAGACACATCCACCACTTTTGCAAGAGTACATGCCAATCAGTCATAAATCCTCAGCAAAGTAACAAAACAACAACTTCTTTTTGATTCATCATCTAACTTCGAGTTAAACTGGCACCTTGAATGTCCGCAGATAAAAGTTGATGTTCTTGAAAGCGTAACGAGACACGTTGGGTCATCTTCAGGTATTTGTCCAGACAGTTCGTACTGCATTTCTCTTCCTTTTCACTTACAGTCCTTGTCGTCATATCATTTATACAGGCACCAAAACACTGCTCGGTTACGTTGTTGTATTGCATGAGAAAATCACGAAACGTCTTCATATCGCTCTCAGTGGTTCCAGTTGTAGGAGCAGCCATACTGATTGATATACTACTGTAAAACGTAAATAACCACAATTTTGAAAAAGCAAACAGTTGAAAATAAGTCAATACCATCTGGGTTATTCTTTGTAATACCCATTAAATAGCACAACAGCACCGAATCAAGGTTTATCATTCATTCAAAAACGTAACAGCACAATATCATTGATTATCTATACAGCTGTATCATAAAAAACTTGTACATGCAAAACGAGCTTGAAGATTAAAGCTTCCTCGCTTGAACACTCATAAAATACTACTTTATTTACGTGAGTCCTTGACTTAAACTTACAATTACTATCGAGGAAAAAACAGTAGAAATACCTTGTCCATGAAAAAAAAAACAGCATCTCAAATGCTGACTGACTTCCGCTTCGATTTCTTCCCAGCTGCTACAAATCATAAATCACAAATCAATCAAAAGATTGGTACAGTATAACAGCATAGCAGAAATCAATATGTAATACGTGCAAAGTTCCCGCCCACACATTTACAGGCCAGTACACACATGGACGAGAAAATGGCCAGTACCATAACATTTCATCCACACCCAACAGTGACATATGTTTTCGAAGAAGCAAAAAAAAAATGAAACCAATGTAAGTGGGACGCTTTCAACGGAAAAACAATCATTACTGAGAAATGTTGCTCACATAAAACCTCGCATAATGTATATGGGCTTACTATAAATCTATTCGCAAGAGGGATAATGGGAGACTGTGTGAGGTACGAGGTTGACGAGGTGAGATACTGAGTGACCGAGGAAGAGTGAAGATCAATGAAAGTACTAGAGCCAAGAAATTCGATAAATATAACGAAAATGTATACAAGGTAGAGTCTGAATTGACGAAAAAAAAACAACCACTCTGATAATAAGCGGTGGTGTGAAACACAGCCATAAATACAACAGAGGAAGCTAAAGAGCTAATCAAGTTGCACTAACAATAGAAACAAATCTTGCTCACGATGACAGGGAATCGATATTCGAAATTATTAATAAAATGGCTAACGAGATTTAGTCAATGAATTAAGATCCAGGTCAAACAGAAGCGTTTCCAACTCTTCAAGTTTACGCTCATTGTGCTCCTTGAAAATAAAGAATTACAGAAAAGGAAATCATGGTAACGAATAAAAGAAAAACCACCTCCAAATATGAGCGAGCATGTTTGAAGAAGTTGTTCAAATCTGCAGCAAATGAACCCAGCGAAGTATACTGAAACATGATTAGGTAGTGAAAATAATTCTTGAGCCTTTTCAAAGCTAAGAGAATCAGAATTGCAGCCTGTTTTGAGTTTCAATTAAAATAGTTTTCTACAATAAGTAAATACAGTGCCATTAATATAACACGTCAACCCGAAAACAAAGATCAATATGGAGAAAAGGTCCACTACTCTCTAATTATAAATATATATGTAGGAGCAGAGTCGTAAATGCGAGGTAAAAAGCGTAGTCAGTACTATAAATTTCGAAAGTACTCCCTTGACAAGATGCTCAGGAATGACTTCATTTTGACCCTCAACAGTTATATTTGGTCGAATTCTTACCTCAGGTATAGACTCTTCAAGGCCATCGATGGATGAAGCTACAGCTCGTCTGCTTGCTCGACCGGCCGGAATGTTTTGCAAAGTTCGATAAAGGCGGTTGTACGCTTTTACGCGACCAAGTAAGTCGGTGCACTCCTGAAATTCAATCTCACTGAGCAAAAGCCAATTATCTCTGGAAGGTTAATCCCAGATCGGAGAAAATAAAAAAGGCGATAGGGTTTGTATAGGTATAACTGTATCGAAAAATATACTCAGTCAAACGACGCACATTAGAACTCTCCTTTCAATGCCCTTATTTAATAAACAATAAACATAAAACGTTAGTATTACAAATTGAATACATATACAACGTCAAAGTGATTCGTTTGGCCTCTACTCAGACGAATCACTTCGTTACTCACCAACCTCCTAGGCTCCTCAGTGAGTTGGGGTTAGTGAGTAACAAACAAGCATTCAAAGGGAATCAAAAAGAAATATATGGTAAGTCAGACTATTTGTTAACAAGTATCACGCAAGTAAGGCTTCTTTGTACTAGTGTAGGCATGGTAATCAACAACATCAGAGGCTCGCGACGAGTCTTTCGAAAAAAAAAAAAAACGAATTTCACTTGACCAGGGCCTCACTCACCTCTGCGACTGGATTGACTTTTGCACGTTTCGCACGGGATTTCTTATCCTCCACATCATCATCAAAAACGTCTTCCAAAAGACGTTTCCTGGTACTTCTTCGGAAGTGCTGGAAAAATATGGATCGTTGAAAATAAATGATGTAGTAAACACACTTCGTACCTTGCTCGTGAAGAAGTCGTCATCGTCACTCTCCGAGTCGCAACTTTCATCTGCGCTCGACTCATCACCGCTTGAATTTCCACCATCGACTTCTTTCAGAGATGCTCTACTTGCTTTCTGCGATATAGACTCCTCCTTCTTCTTTTTCATTTCAGCCCTCTCACATATTGGACACAGCCACCTGGAAATCAAAGCAAAAAAGTAAAAAAAATCCTAATAAAAAACAAACAACGCCATTCTGATGACTTACGTAACAGGCTTTTCTTCCAATCGTGGTCTTGTACAGTAGTAATGTACGACGACCGCACAATTAGCACATGCAATTTTAGCTTCTGGGGTCCTTCTACTGCCGCACGAGTTACATCTCTGAACAAAGATAACCACTATTTATTCATATTATTAATATTCAGTTTATTATGCTGTGACTTTTTATAACAAAAAAGGCGGCTGAAACCTTCACTTGGACTGTAAGAGCGTTCAAAAGGCAAATCACGTACAAGGTGACTTACGAGCGCTAACTTTGGTGTTTTTATAGACAAGCCTGCAACTAAGTAACCGACTCAACTCAAAAGGTTCGAAATACATTTTAAAACACGACTAGCCTCGGGCTACAAAACCATGTGGCGTTATTAGGCCTAGAGCCATTGTGTAAGTTTTCGATCCATTATTTTAAAAACAATTTCAAGAAGTAGATGACCTTTCTTACGGGCCGCAAAGCAATTGAACAAAGAAAAAGTATTTCAGACCTTTTCAACAACGCTTTTCTTCCAGTCGATTCTAGAGTCGAGATAACATCGAAGAAGATGAACACCGGAAGCATTGCGACATTCTGCTAACCGTTGCTTCCATCGATCCATAATCAGACAGGAGTGTTGACCTGAACCAGTTAGTCTTATCCCAAAGTAAAAGCGGAAGAGCTCCTCTTATTCGAAGAAAAAATTCTCAATTTCAAATTACAATACGCCAAACGCCTCGGCTTTATGACTTTGAAAAAGAAAACTTGGAAATTCTCACCAGTCTGCAAAGCAACCTTGAAGTCCAACCGCTTAACAATGGCGGACGGTGTTATGCTATCGGCAAGAATCATTAGCTTTTCTTTCTGAAAGTACAAGTCAAACGATTTAGAACTTGAGGTGCAGAACTCGCGATACATACCACTTCGTCAAGTGTTGAACAACACAGCACTTCCGCTTCGAAATCTTCAACACTTCCTATACTAGTGAAATAACTGTCTCTAAGGTCCGATGCTAGATGGACGATGGACTTTCGGAGTAGAGTCAAGGACTCTGTGAACAAATCTTCGTCATCGCCTTCGATGTCTCTAGGTTCAGGCCTATAACAGATACGATACCATATGTTACATTTAATAGCAATTGTAGTTTGACGGTTACTTAAATAAAAAAATATATTAAGGTATAACAGAGAAACTTTTAAGAATGAAAAAGATTTCAGCCTAAAAAACGACAAACTTCAACCGAATCACAAAAAATTAAAGCAAGAAACAGCCAGAAAACATACGTTTTGCTCTGCCTTGCGCTTCCACCAGCGATGCTGTTGATTATCGCATCTTTATTCTTTTTGAGGAACTGAAATGACCAGAGAAATAGAAGAGAGGGCACATCTTGAATGCATTCATCTTACCGCTAATAATCTGCCTTCTCTGACTCCAGCTTTGATTAATGAACTCAACAAGCTGTCAAATGCCGTCGGATCAGGCACTCTGTACCACGTTTCTGTGTAGCTGAACAGCGAACGTTGCAATCGGTAAGTTTAAAAAAAAAACAGGATATAAAACTGCAACCAATGCACCTTTCCGGTTCAAGAGCTGGCCAGTCGTCTCCAGACTTCTTCTTATCTACGACAATTTCAGCTTCTGGACCAGAAGTTCCAGTTTGGTTACCATTCAGAGAAGACTCGACTGCAGGCTCCACGTTTTTGACCTCTTCCTCAGCTTCTTCTTCTTGTTCCTCTTCAAATGGCTTACCAGCTTTGATACAAGCGCGGATAAACTTTTCGTAAGAAGTTACGCCAAGCTGCAACGAAAAATTGAAATGGAAATATACCACTGTATTAATGAGTGACTTACATCTTGGATCCAGATACCGTCATCAGCCGATTTTCCATGGAACCAGTAATACCGACGGAAGTGTCGATCCTGCCCAATAGGAACCACTCGTTTTGACTGATTTTTTTCCTGCCTTTCTAACTAAAACAAAATGAAAATATTGGCGATACTAGCGTGAATGAACAGAAAAACATCAACACGAACAACAACAAACCGTGAGCTTTTCGAGGAATTCCTCAACTTTGTCCTTATTCTCCTCAATTTTTCGTTCAAGCACTTCTCGCTGTTTCTGGTTCTCGGCTCTTTCACGCGTTTCACTGCGAGACAACATGGAAGGGTCGGCCACTTCCTCGTACACGGGCAGAGCATTGAGCTCCTCTTGCCAATTATTGACCTAGATTAACACCATGCGATGGAAATAAACTTTGCATGCATTTTACGAGAGACTTACTTTGAGCAAAAGAATTTCGAAAAATCTTACCTGCTCATTTAGCTTTGTAATCTTGTCACGCAAACTCCGTGCAGCATCACCAAGTCCTTCTTGGCCGATGTAATCCTGAAGGGCGTGTAGACGAATAGCGTAGCAAGTTCAAATAAAGTCACTATGATAAATTAACCTTGAAAGAGCGAAGCTCGAGAACACGATTCATGATTAAGCCAAGAATGCCCAACTGATCCTCCGGGGAGAGTTCCCAAAGCTCCTTATCGGGTTTAAAACTATCAAGGAAAGTCTTGCAAACATCCTAAAATTGGAAAAGGAAGCTCAGTCGATATAGAAATAAACGGTCGATATAAATTAAACATTAAAAAGACCCACGATATCGATCTGCGACATATCGTGAACATCACTTGGAGTATTGCGTCCGCTCTCCATAGCATTCTCCATATCGTCATTATCGACGCCATTCTGGGTTGAGAGCTCGGTATTGTCGTTCGCACTGCGAACTTGCCTAAAACTAATATCTCTAACAAAAATACGTCTGCTTAATCCTGCCCTTCAGAGCATGTAAGATGATTATCGAATTTACGAAGAGAGCCAACTTGGAGTAATCACAAAGAAACGAGAGGAGTATTTCCACTTAAACAGCACTTGAATGCCAGTCAAACCTCTAGGTGAATGCCTAATATGCTCCACTTACGAAGAGCAAATTTACCAAGCACAATGGACACTTCTGCTGCGCCAGTAATATTAGCAACACTTTTTTGTAAAACATAATTTAATGAAAAAGTACTCACTCGTCTGTTGAGCCCGTACTCCCAATCAGAAGAGCTCGGCAGAGTTCAGACACAGTGTTATCGTCAATTGGGAACTCACCAAGACGTGCATTGAAATGGGTCAACTTCTGGAAGAATAACCTTCTTACATACACAATAAAGTGCTACATATCTCAAAAAATCCAAGAAAAAATGCGTTACCCCGTACTGCGGATCTTGTAATAACGTCTTCAAGAGAGAGCCAAACAGTTTCGCCGTGTATTTCATGTAACCCGGCCTGCCCTCATGAACAGCATCGAAAAGTTGTTCTGGAAGACAAAATGAATTAGACAGTCGAAATAAATTCTCGAGTATTCACTGAGATATGTAGCAGTCATAAAAACGAACTTGCTGTGATCTTATGATCGGCTTCGATGAACTTCTTCAACGAGGAAAAGAACTGTGTGAAAACCAAGCAGTCAGTGAACACTAATGACTGGCCCGATGGAACCGAGACAAGCCGACCAGGGCATGGCAACGCCGCTTCGCTGACGACGATGTCTTCTTCAGCGATTTCCTACAAAAATTACTTGGTTTTCAAGTTCATAACAGAAGTAGGCAGCCGGCAGTAGTTGGACATAAACAGCTAGGATAAAGTTCGTAGTAAAAACATAAACAACTTTATGAATAGAAAAACAACTGATAATTAAACACAATTCATTAAAAATTATAATCTAAGGGAGGTATCCCATGAAAAACTCTAAAATGACTGACCTGATTAAAATAGGCCTTTATTTTAGCCAACATTATTTTCTGAAGCTGATGCCTTTGTTCATGTATTTTTTCTCGGAACGCTGCTCGCTGTTCTTTCGTCTTCATCTTTTTCCTGGACATTCACAAAGTATCCTGTCTTAAGTTAAAAATTGTCTACTACTACAGAAACTCAGACTTACAAGGCTTCAGCGTCCTTGACCTTGTCGTAAGCCTTTCGAACAGCGAACCGATGACATTCATGAGGGATTTTATCGATCTGAACACCTGATAGGACCTTCGCAGCCCGTGTTGCAGCATCGATGAACGCCTTAAATAACGCATAAGTATAATCAAATCAAGGTGATGGCTCGAACTCAAAATTATTTGAAGAATAATGTAAAACTATAAAATACCTGCTCGTCTCTCTTCCGCCAGGCATCCTGCAATTTGTTGACAGCAGAACTGAATCTTTTTTCGCTACGCTTCTGCGGAGTGAGGAAAGGTGTTTCAGGGTTTTTCTCTGGCTTGTGTTCACCATTAGCACTTCCCGCGCAAATGAACTTTGTAAGATCCTAAAAGAAGTGAATACCAAGGAACACTAATTTTGACATCAGCAAAACGAAATATGCGGTATTGTTATCCCTTACCCCTGAACTATTCTCCTTCTGTTCTTTTTCTTTCAGTTCCGCTTTCTTTTTTTCTTTCCTCTCCTTGGGTTCCTTCTTCTCCTTCAGCTCTTTCTTCTCTTGCTTCTTTCTCTGCTTATCCACTTGTTTCGATGAAGCATTAGGAGGTAAGGCTAATCCACTCCTCCGTTGAGGGAGGAAGTTGGCCAGGGGTGTATCAGAATCAGAGTCATCGTCTTTCGAATTCTGTAAATTTAGGAAAAAAATATTGACGCCCTGGGAAATAACTATCTTTCTTCGGAAATACTGAACACTTTCCGTACCACAGATCTTCCAGTAGTGTTGAGAGTCTTATTCGAAGACTTCGGAAATGAGCAGAAAATTGGCGCCAATTTATCTTTAACTCCATATTCCTTTTTATATTCTTCATCAATCTGAACACAAACAGCGTAGGCATAACCGCACATCCTCAAAAAGACCACAACTGACCTGCCAAGGCTTCCCTGGTTGTTGTGAGCCTAACAATAGTATTAGCGATCTAATATCGTCCTCAGTAATTTGATAGCGGCGTCTGAATGAGGATATTCGAGATTAAATAAACATGTGAAGCTTCTCTAAGCAAAAACTCTGCGTACAAAAGCAACAGTCAAGAACGCACTTCAGATCCCTTCCATTAATTCGACCGATCTCTTTGTCGTCATACAGCAATGTATAAAACACAGCTCCACCTTTCTTTTCAACTCCTGTCACCTTCGCAAGTACAGTTCTGCAAAAAGATTGCCATGAAAGGGAAAGAGATGAAAAACGGGACCTATGTGAAATACATAATCATCTCCTACAAAAAAAATTATGAAGTTAATGTTTCGTCAACATTCACAGTTCAAACCCTTATTACTCAAAAACTAGAGCAGGGACGAACGACGAGAACGACGATTATTCAAAAAGAAACTTTTAGGGTTCAGAAATTCCGACTCTCAATTTGACCAAAGCGTCGTCTGGTTTTGTTTAGTGACTTCAGTTTTCTCCCAACCGGCGAATTTTCCAAATAAGGCATTTCAAACTGATCAACGTATTTTAAAGAAGTAACGAGCGATAACGAGAGAGTGCCTACAGTTACTCGGGAGATTTATTTTGCTAAGTGACATTTGTCCAGAGACAATTGTTTGTCAAAGCAGGAAACAAGAATACTAGCCATCACGCTTAAACGGAACCACGTCAAAGTCGAGAAAAAGGATGGATGGGGGAGTTCAATTTCTCGTTAGTTCCACAGTAGAGTACAAAAGGAAATAGAAATAAAAAAGCAAACAAACTCAATGATTACCTGTCAGTTCCAGGGGTAAAGTCGACATTTTCGCCTCTGACATAAAAATCCTCAAGATAGTTCTCTATCGATTCTACAAGATCATCTAACGAATAAGTACCTATAACCATCACGATCAAAGTGGAAGAAACCAAAAAAAAAAATATTGAGCGAAGGTTTGTAAATCTTACAAAATCCTTACTGTGATGAATCCGATTGCACATTTCCTGAATAACAGGTTTTTCAATTTTTCCTCGTAATTGCGTTAATCTATCACATTCTTGTTGCATTGCCTCCTCATAAGAGAAGCAAAAGTCGTCTGGACAATGACGAGCACTGAACTTCTTTCCAATATCGTTTTTTCCGAGTTCGTTTCTGAAAATAAATTGAATCAAAATTATTCGAAAACAAACAGAGCACAGTCAAATTCAATGTAAAGGTGAACTTCGATAAGCTAATGAGAGTCAGACACACCGAATTTCGGAAAAGAAAAGCGAGTTTAATCGAGTTTTCAAGCCGAGTGGCTCTCTACTTCGCCGTTATCTTCATACCTGAGTGCGCGGCTGGCCCACAAATTGCGTTGGCACGGAGCCAGATGGTAAACATGTTTCAAACCTCCCTGTTTTCGCGCCGCGGCGCAGAGTATTCACGATGGAGCGGGCTTTATCGGCTTGCAGAGGAAAAATCAAGGATCTGTACCTAACTGTTGAATCCACGTGTACTTTGCGTACTCGTCATAGCTTGACATTACAATAGTGATCTATGAAGAATAACATGTTGACGAGATAGATCGCCCAAACACCACAGTATCTCTGCTTGTTTTGGTAGTGACTTTTTCGATAAGTACTGTAGCTGTGTACAGACTCCAAATATGAAGGAACTCGAAACTCGAGGAAGTCTTCCTACTATACTCAATAAATGAATGATTTAGGAACACACCTTCCTTCTTCATTAATAAAGAGGAATGCTTTTCAACGGCCGCTGCCTTGCAGATATTATTAGTCCACACAAATATGTGAACGCTAATAACAACACCATCTAGTGCGGTATAGCAGTGTTTAGAAAAATCTTATTCAACCGGTTCTTACTAGGAAATACTGTTCAAATGTCTGATTATTTATATAAAAGATTATGGATTGAATGGAAAAGAACATTGCAAACCTCAAAATCTTAATAAACTGCGAGAAAATTGAAAAGCAGCGCTAAGAGTGACCACGCTCCTAGAACATACTCTCAACTTTTCGAAACTCTGCACCGACGACAAATACGACCTTTGCGTGTTTGAATCACCTTCAAAATACTCCTCGAACTCTACTCTTCCCGAACTTGTTTACTTTTCGCAATCTGAAAGAAGATCCCGCCTACACAGTGCGCAGTCCTTCGTAAGATACTAGATACTCTACGCTCTACGCTGTTGTCATTCGGGAGGGCCTGATTTTTGGAAAGGCCAAAACTGAAGAATCGTCCGACAGGTGAGGAGGTGTTCCTCGGTCAAGTGCGCAGCAATGGCGGCTTGGCAACACTAGACCATGCTCTATTTCATTACATGCTAAACAACGATACTTCATGATATCGTTAGGTAAGCATCACTTCTTCCCTAAGTCGAATACATCGTTGAAAAGTATGCTGATGAGTAGATAAAACACCACTTACTTTTCTGGATTCAGCTCTTTCACAGCGACTGAGCTAGGTGAGTTGACCATATTACTAATATCAGCAAACAATTTCTTGGCTGGTATTACTAACAAGTCCGTCGGTTCAGCCAGTGGCATACCTTAATGAGTTCTAAACGAATTTTGAGTTGAAAAGTTTCAAAAATTAAAGAAGCCACGTTATAACGAATTCGTGCTATCTATTGCAATTTGACTGAAAACTGGTTTATGATTCAAGGACACGAGAACAGAAAAACGGGCTACATCTAAAAAATTCAAAGTTATGGTTTAAGCACTTTGACGACTTATTTTAACAAACAAAAATCTTACTCCTGGAATGGAAGAATCAAGGCAACAAGTACGAAAGTTTGCTTCCTTGATATAAAAAGAAAGGACTGGGAACTTGCCCAGTGGTTCCAACGGCACCAACGCCACCGTTATCGCGCATTTCAAGTAGTGGGCGCGAATTTCAAATGGTTTTCATTTCGCGGCTCGCCAATCTATTGCACTTTGGCGACTCTACAGTACTCTCTTTTTCTGTGAAAGAGAGTTGTGTTGTTGCTGTGCAGGATTACCGCTTCTGCGTCAGCCAAGATGGAAAAGTGGCCTTCGTTTTCGAAACCGAATCAATTCGACGACTGAATCCGTCTAGGTGAGTACAAGTAACGTGGCGAAAGTAGGCCCTCCCTGTAGGCGAAGTTGTCAACGGCTTTGGAACCATCATGATGGAAAGGTAAGCCTGATTACTATATAATAGATCTATTATTATGATTAGCAATCGAACACTACTCTGAGCATGGATGGTAAGGTGATTGGTAGTTTAGTCGGCTGAGCATGCCCATCCTCTGGGAGGTATTCTGGGGTTCAATTTAGGCCGATTGTGTTTTCTTTTCAAAAAAGTTTCAGAATGCTGATTGATCAAATTCTCATGATTATTGATCGAATAAACAGAAGACTTCTTTTTTTTAAGTCCTTCTGCCCACCGGCTTCAGCCATAGCTCTCCCGGTTGGGCAGCATAGACATGAGAATGAATCACATAGCAATTGAGCTGCATGAAGAACGCTACAACTGTTATAACGAGGCAAATTTCCCGCGACAGCCGCATGCGGCGGACCGATTGAACAAAACCGTTCCTACTGCCCGTCTCCCTACAACCTCTATTTCTACTACTTTCTGGAAACAAGTTTTTCTCAAAATCCGCCGATTTTAGCGTTTTCTTCGCCACCTTTGCACTATTATGCACCGTGAGTTTCATTTATTCACATAAGCCAGGTACCTCACAATTATCGTGTACCACACCTTTGACGGCACAGTTCATGATAAAAATGGTTCATGAAATTTTCCTCTAGAATGAACTTGTGGCATGCAGGAATTGTTCGTTGGACGTTTTTGGGCAGAAAAACGGCTTAGACAAGCCGCACTAAGGGCTCCAAAACCGTTCTAGCCGACGTACAACCAAAAGTGGCCATTTTCTGCCAGCCTTTTTGAGGCTGCTTTTGGCCTGTATGTACAATGAATTGCAGGAAAAACCCCATATTCCCAAGAATCCGACCGTTTGACTAACGTAATCAGATCATAGCACATAATATAAACTAAATAAGGCATTCTTTATTCACCAAAAGTACAAAAAAATCAGCATCAAAAATACACGCATAGAATTGCTTAAGAAGTTATGGCAACATTCACTTTTGGACTAAAAAATGGAATCTGACGCTATGCACCGTTCCAACAAAAACGAATAAAGGATACAATCTACGCTAGAAATCTAGACGGCATAAGAACAACAACAACAACAACATTAAGGACGTCTGCATAGTTTTCGAAATGGCTGCTTTCAAACTTCGACGTGCGTGCCGGCACGCAGGTGGAAACGCAGGTACAACATTGCGTGCGGCGTGCGAGCGGCTATGCGACGGCGGCGCTATCCAACTGTTTGACNTGCGTGCCGGCGCGCACGTCGAAGTATGAAAGCAGTCAATGAGAACCCCTAATCACAGTTGAACCAGAGATATAACCCAATGCGCTCGCGCTGCGTTCAGACAGGTGCGCGTTGCGAACCAGTGAATCAGCGAAATACCCACGCTGCAAGAAAATGCTGGTGCGTCGCATTTGCACAGTGCACCAAAACCATTATCCAAGTAAAAGAAAAAGAAAGGCAGAAGAAATTAAGTTTTTTGACGATTGTTATTTAGAACCCATTACAGCAGGGGCGCATACTTCCCCACAGGTCGTTCCGCATGTCCTACGAGCCGTAAACAAGAAAGACAGGAAATCAAATTTATAGGGAATTTTGAAAGAAGGAAATTGCAGAGGCACCTTCCAGAGTAAAGCATTGAGCGTTGAGCGTCGAGCGCCGACGCAATGTTAACGACGCCGGTCGGTGATCAACCGCAAGGGTCTGCGGTGAATAAATTTCTGAACGAGTTTTTACTGGTTGTGTTATTCACTCTTTTTCAATCTTACATGCATTTGACATTTTCTTCGTTGACTACTATGATGTAATGCCGCAAAAGTATACCATTATGATAGAGCTCTACGCAGCTCTGCTTCAAAAATAACATGCTTAACGCAAAGACAGTCAGCGGCGNAGCATTTTCTGGTGGGGTTCCGAGAACTGATCCCAATTGGGACTCGCAGAACAAATATCAACAATCAATAAGTATCACAAAAGTACAGAGCAACAAATCTCCTCCAACGAATTAGCACATCTTGTGGTATGAAAATAATTACAGTGACGCGAGCGGCTGCGCAACTGCACGTCACGACTTGCACTCTTTTCCGCTACTCAAATATCCTATCTAGTCTTTTCTTCTTAAGAGTTACTCAAATTTCGGGGGATTCAAAACTAGTTGCAATATATTACACGCGTTCCGAACATTTCACTCCGAAGCATGTTTCAATGAGTTCCTTGATCTTGTCGCACTGTTGTTTCGTGAATCTGCAAGCAAAACATCATCCTACAGATTTCAACATTCTGGTTCATTAAGGCGTTACTGGCGCTTGCTCGAGGAAGTCGATGATCAACGGAACGACAGGTGATACAGGTATTATTAAGAACCATTTGACAGTACGTACAGACTAAACTAAGGGAAGATTCCACAGTCAGGGACTTTTCTGTACAATTAAAACTGTTCAGATACTAGAATAGGAGTAGAGCGAGATTATTGGACGGAAGTGAGTCAAGGAGGAAAGGAAGCTATCTGTTCAGTAGGTGAAACACACCGTAGCGGCCACCCCTTCAGTCTTTTCTGAGCCCCAACTTCTAGGACTACTGAAAACAAATCAAATATCTCAATGATACTGAATACAGGTCAAAGCTGATGCTTATTCGGTCCAAGCCTCAAATTGGAGACCATGCAACACAACGTAGTCACCTCGCCCCGAAACTTTTCCCGAACTCATCCCACCAATGATAAACAACAAAATAATACTGTAAACATACGGTATGGTGATGAGATTTGATTCGATGAACTGATCCAGGCCAACATCGATGAACTGATCCAAACTAACATCCGTTTTAGTGTGATGTTTGATGTGTTTGATTACATTACCTTTGATCGGAGCTCCGTACTGACAGATCGCACATCGATAGCTGTAAATATACTGTAATGGTTTCATCAGTAGAAACGGTGATGTTGACCCATATCAAGTAAAAACTGCTCAGCAAAATTTAGCTATTGTAACGGACACAAACCGTCCACCGATCCCGAAACAATGAGATCTGTTTTTTTACATTTTTAATGAACTTCAATTTTAATAGTGGCAGGGTACAATTTGCATTAGTGCAATTTGCAAAAGTTGTTTCGAGCAGGGGTAGGTATGGCGGTGAGGTTTGAACCATTACTCCGAAGTCAACTTTTGTTCCAAAAACGGATCTTGCTCTCAAACCAAGAAAAATGTTGAACGGACTACATCAGCGGGAATATGTATCCTACAAACCAGCAACTTGTTAATTGAATACCCTAGTCAGAAGTCAAAAGAAGCACCTAATGATTTAGAAGTAAATCAGCAGAAATAAATAGAAATCAAATTAATTGAATGAACATAGTGAATACTTACGAGCGCAGGTCCATATGTTTAGTGCCAGCATGAAGTGCGAAACATCTAGGGGTTGTTGGAACTTGTTTCTCACATACCTAAAAATAGTTTTTCGAGATTTATTCGGTAACAGTAGTACGTGTGAAGGGAAATGCAATTAATTTTGTATATTTCTCAGCAACGACGTGTATTTTTCCAAACTTTTAAATGTCGAACTGACTCCCTTATCGAACTACTCACCGTACATAGCGTGTTATTCGTCAGAACGTTTCTTCTTTTCAGAATTGTAATATTAAGGTGTAGCTGTTTCATGCTTCCGAATAAGGCTGAAAATCCCAAAGTTCGAGTTCGTCACAGTGAAGTGGAAGTGTGGCTCCAAGATATGTTAAGACAATCTCTTAGATACAACTATTTGTTTACTAACCCAACTCATTCGCACTCGTCCACTTCCTCTTTCTTGTAATATTTCCTCCTTCGTTGCTGAAAATCTCCCCCGGTTTCTCGTCTGGCTCAGGGTTTTCGATGGACAAGTCGTTCTCATCATCGTCAATAATCTGAAAGCTTTTATAGAGAATAACTCGAATGAATAGAAGTGAACCTGAAGATAGAATTTATAAACGCTTCTTCTCTCGATACCGATCAATGACGTTCAAAGATAGAAGTGAAAAGTAGGTTATTTTTTGCTATGATTGATCCAGGGCAGAATAAAATTTCGGGTTCATTTGGTTAGATAAGTGCTAGAAGAGCAATTACAGCGAGAAATAAATCCAGAACAAAGTACAACAAACCTCCACGGCAATCGGTTTCCGATCTTCTTGAAATGAGGAGGTCACAGGGGTCATTGAGAAGTCGGGTGCAGTTTCCGGTAAAGTAGGACACTCTCCATGAATCGATTCAATTGTAGGTTTTGGTGATGTTTTGTACGGAGGAGGAAACGATACATTCAGCGGGGGAGGAGGGGCTGCAAAATTTCAAAGAACTCAGCTTTGCAGTGAAAATGTTAACTTCAAATTCGAGGGCTACCTGCTAAAAACAAATCTTGATCAGTAACCCTGAAGTTGATGTACGATCGTGCTAACTAAACATCAATTATCAGTACTTCAAACAGTAGAATCTAGTAAACAAACAAAGTAGGAAACAAGACCCCACATACAGGTATAATCCATGCAACGACTGCTTTTCTTATCATTAAAACTTCATATGCCTTTGAAAGTTTTTTTCAGAGAAGAAAATGCAGTACCAAAAAGGGCAAACCTATGAAAACTGTGATGCAAGTTGTCCTACTGCACCCTGCGATATTTTTAACAGTAACATTTTTTAAACATTTTTTTTGAGTAAAACTCACCAAGAAGCCAATCAAGTCTTGCACTTGTCCAGTATGTTTCAACTCCACCTGCACGAAAACCATGCTGAAAAACTGAAAATCAGTATCACAGAATTACTGAGCTCGTGAGAAATGACGATAAATCTGTTGAGAATGAACAGAATTCGAATTACGTTCAGTTATCAATCAGATATACTTGGAGAACGAATGCAAAGAAAAAATAGAAGAAAACGTGGAATGTTCAGAAAATTATTATGCGGTATTACAAAAAGAAAAATAACATCTAACTATGCAGTAAAAAGAAACAGGGACGAACTTTCTCGCATTTCTCGTTGTTCTGTTCTGTTCCGTTCTGCTTTTCGTTCTGTTCCTCTGTTCTATTGTTTATTTCATATTATTTTAGTCCTTCCCGGTGCCGATGGCGCACCACTGTGTGCATGATAAGTAAATAAGTAAATAAATAAATAACGTATAACATTCATAGAATAGCGTAAGTGTCTTTAAAGAAAGAAGGATGGAAGAGAGTATGAATAAAGAATGAGCCGAGGTGGGAGACCTATTACTGACGCCATATCATGGAACGGCAATAACAATTATGGGGCACCATTATCAGCAGTATTGCGGAAGATACCATTCGCTGCAGATCTAATAAGAGTGCAGCAGCATTGCCTCAGTAGAAATGTGTAGACAAGATCCGTAGAGCTGTAAACACCTACAGGCTTCTTTCAATCTGGAAATGTCCATATAAATCTACAACATCCTTGAAATACAGCGAACACTGGCCGTAAGAGGTATTCTATCGTTTTCCGTATTGCGCCAGATATTCCGGATGATGTTGCTGAGCATGAGAATTCGCTGTCTCATTATATCCCCTTCACAGTAAGCGGACAGAAATGGAAGCAACAGGCTGCCATTTCCTATGATGGGCAATAGAAAGCGATAACAACAGATGAAGGCTGATAAGGGGAGAAACGGAGCCCTACAGGGTGCCTTCGTTCAGACGGTACCACATTACATCAGCAAATAGTATAGAAATGATAGGAGGGAGACGCTGTCGAAGGCCAATAGGAAGAAATGACATTTGATAAACGCTGATAAAGGACGTGAAAGTGCCACTGAATTCGTTAAGCGTTTCTTGTTAACAGTGGATTATACCAATGCACTTACGATTCCAGACACAATATGAACTGCTTGATTCCTGTGCCGCTTTGTCGGCATGTAAGCCTGTCCGACGGCAATTTACCTGTGATAAGGAAGGTAGGGTTATGTAGAGAAGGCATATTTCGTGGCGTACGGGACAGCTAGCGAAGCAAGCCACGTCAACTACCTGCTTGTCCAAACCCATTGGCTGAGTTGGTGGCGGTTATTCGAAACAGTCAGGTAAAGCCTAAGGATTTCAGATGCAGGATTGGGCTAAACTCGAAATAGTTGTTACAGTAACCAATAATGACCAATTCTGAACAGTACTAATCAATGGCAACTTATCAATAGTAATACGAACTGCCGAACTCAACCGGACTCCATCAAGCGCTTTCACGATGAAAGTGTAAAAGGAGTAGAAAACTGGCGCGGGTTTACTTCACCGGCTGCCTTTTTTGCCACACGAAAGGGCATCATATCAACGAAACAGCAACAAAGATGGTCCGGGTAAACCGACTGGTATAAAACCAGATCACCGGTAAATTCTGGGACGTCATTCTAACGCGATGGTATCGCACTGATGACCCTTAGTTACTATATGGTACTATGGTCGAGAACACTGGCTCCTACTCTCACGTATGTTGGCAGCCGGACTTGGAAATGGCAAGGAAGTAGACATTCGTACCACAAAGTAAGTTCAAAGAGGAAACTACCGTAGAAATCAAAAACGAACGACAATATTCACATAACTAGACAGTCGTCAGGGAATAGGTCCATCACGCTGTCTCACTGCTGTTGCATCTTCAGGTAGTGGATAAAATACCCCCCAGTCATAATATGGCTCAAGAAAAGAACGACTGATACATAATTCACAGGACGAGGTGCACCTTCAGGAAGCTGGAAGACGCGGCGGTTGCCGGGGAACCAGAGATGTTATATTTGGTGGAACGTAGATAACGATAGTGGGCAGTAGAAAGTGGTAACGACAGATGATGAGCATTAGAGAGCAGGTCTCACTTAGCTCTTCACTCTACTGGTACAACGGTCAACCTGGCTGACGGTAACGGTGATAGAATGGCGACATTGACGTTGGGTGACAGAAAGTGATAACAACTGATGAACACTGATAAGGGGCATTGGGATGGAAATGTTACCAAACTAGTTATTCCTCGCCTTTCTTCTCATTCAGTATTCATGCAATAGAAGATATGGAACTAGGTCTGCAGGAATCAGGAGTGGTTGATAGAGAGTTATAGCAAGTGGTAAAGAATGATCAATAACGATAAGAAGCGAATGTCACCAAAATCGTAACGCCCACCTCGACGACCAATGCAGTGTTTGCGCTGGCGATGGTAAGAGATAACAATCGATCGTTCCAAAGTTATAGGGAGTGATAAAAACAAATCAAGACAGCTGTTAGAATATTCTCGAGAAGGCCTATTCGGGGGACACAACTTAAATTCATTCGATTCTTTTGTGCAAGACACATCGAATTAAAACCGCAAAAGGAAACCTTTTCATCATAACTTTTGATGCCTGTAGGTTTTGTAAGAGATGTTTCCAACTAACAATAAGATACACTGACAGCCAATACATAATCTAGGGTTTTTACCTAGCTGAATAATTTGTTACAGTGTCAACCAACCAGTTCTCTAGCGATTATGGTTCCATTGACCGCTACAAGACCTGATCAAACGAATTGCAACCAATCCACCGATAAATCTACCTTTTCCACGTTTCAAACCCAACAAAGAATGCTCGGTAGTAATCATGGCCATCATAAGATTAATCTAACATTCAAAAATCGCATGATTGCAAAGTACCAGCTAATGCACAGTAATTCTCCCTCGACATTCATGTCTGATTCATGGCTCGGCTCATGGCTTGATTTGAAAGGTATCATTTTTTGCAGCAACTCAGCGGTGTGTTACAAAGTAACTTAGATGAAAAAATAAGACGGTTCAGCAAAGTTGAGCAAGAAATCGCACAAAAAACTCCTTCAGATAAATAAAAATTGAAAGAAAGGGTGAGACAGACAAAAAAAGTAGAAAGTAAGGAAATAAAAAATGAGACATTCGCAAAAAAAGAAGAGCTTAGTAAGAAAACAAATGAAATGAAATAAACAAAGTGGGAACATAAACAAATTGGAACTAGGGCTTTCCATCATCGAGTAGACCCCCGTGAAGCCATTGGTCGCTACGCTGATATTGCTGTAAAGGCTGCAATCGATACCTTCTTCTATACTAATTGACAGCCACCTACACAGCTTCCCTCGAAAGCTTTTATTAGTATTAAACCTTTTCATGAAGGAATGTAAAGGAAAGGTGCATTTTCGAGATTAAACCACCGCCTAGAAAGTATAAACGAGTACCATGGAAAATGAGAGGGATTTTGACTATAATGAAACTCCGAAAGCAATCATTCCCTCTATGATAATCTGAGTGACTAGGAACTGACTTCGAAGAGATGCCATTTGTTACCGTAACATAAGCGAAAAGTACAAGGTAGCATTATTATGTAGAGGTAATAAGTGATAACAAGTGATACTTCACAATACTTCATGATTCTAGCAGATTCGGAATTATTTGGCGTGAAATTCAATGTACATATCGTGGTGAGTGCAGAGAGCAGAGCCACAAAATATATGTCGCCCACACTGAGATTACAGTTTCTCCGTCCATGGGAGTCCGATGCAGCCCTCCCAGACCGGAAATGGGGACGGCCTTTTATCAGTGAACCCATTTCAAACTAACACATTGCTGCTGACGGCCTGTTTGAAATAGCTATTGGTACTTATGGGTGCAGATTAGCCCGTCAAACAGCTGGTGCGAAAAGGCGCTGTCCTAGTCTACCAGCTAAAATACCCTTTACTCGTTTGTGCCATGTCACCATGATTGTCATGCAACGTAAGATAGACCTTAAGATAGAACCTACTTCGACGACAGCAATGAGATTACTAGTGGTAATGGATAATAAAAAGTGGTAATGTAAGATAATTGAAAATCATCCAAATGGAAGCGCCACAGCTCTGAACCATCTCCCTTGCACCACCCCAGTTAGAAAGGAGCGAGGTGCTAAAGCAAGGTTTTCTTCAGTTATCGCTTCCAAAACATGTAAGGAGGGATCGAGGCTATTAACTAACGCGATTAGCCTCCCGCCCATCATCTAGATAGGTGAATTAGTGAAATAACTGGAAGATTGGAGACTACTCCAACTTGTTATCACTACCAGCTTCGGAGAGTGTGGATCCAGATTAGAGACTTGTATACTGAATCGTTCAGTATTCTTCTAACACAATAAGTTATTTTGCACAATAACTTAAAATTCATTGCACTATGAGATTAACCTTGTTCTTTGAGGGTTCTTTGATGTCTTATCTGATTAATCCGGAAGGTTCCCATAATCGACTGAATCATGCTGTTCATATGGTTTAGTATGTCTCTAACTTATTAGCTCTGTATCGCAGTCAAGCGGCGGATGTTGACATTTTTATCAGATTGTTCCCATGTGCGATGTTGCTCATACCAATGCTGTGCGTATATAAGCGAGATGCGGTGAGTGGAAAGGAATTTTTCTCCTTTCTCTTCGTGTTCTTCTCTAGATCTGTTCCTCATCCATATCATTGCGATTAATGTAACTTCTTTAGGAAATTGCACGATAAGTAATGCTATATTTTGCACTATAAGCTACTTAGTCGTATTTATTGTGGTAGGCACTATAATATTGTTTGTGCGCTCGGAATCAACCGACAGGTAGTTGAGTTTTATTCCGTTTAGCTTTATTTGCATTTGTAATATATTTGTTACTTTGAAATTAATCTTTGTTGAATATTATTAGGTATTATTATTAGGTTAATAGCGTTAGTTAGTTAATGATTTATAATAGATAAAGTTTAATTACCCAAGTTTGAGGTTGATATTCACTACCCGCGTGGCATTGGAGTTTATCTCAACTATCGAATATTTTCCTCAACTTGAGACAAAGCTCATATGCTGCCCGTGAAGAGATAGAAAAGAAACTAGTGTTCGATAGTTCATAGTAATTCTCTATCGTCTGAGGCATACTTATGAAAAATGATTTTAACATTACATTCAAAGGTACCAGTTGAGAGTTTGGTAACTAACCAGTATAAAAAATACTTGTAGTGTGAGAAATGAGACTACTAACGGGGTGTAGTTAATTTGACAGTCGGTTAAGTCAGCGAGAGCCTCCCCGATGGGAACCCCTGATTGTATATGCGCATAGCATTGGTGAGAATGGGGTCTTTCTACTGCCTCTGCAAAGTAACTTCGATGAAAACGATATTCGCTTTTCTATTTACATTTTTATGCATTCATACCTAATTCGTTTTTCTTATACCAAAGCCATCATTTGCCGGACTGCCGTACTTCTGCTCCTTAGCCTAACCGTACCCTGGTAGGGCTAAAAGGTGAGGATGGGGAACAAGCAGAAGAGGAAGCGACATTCTATGAGGCTACAAAGCAGGTAATCAAAGTTTCTCGATGTGTGGTGCGCCCCGCATTCGACTTCCATTCAGAATCATGATAACGTGCTTGAAAGCGGAGTTGCGGTGGCCAAACGATGTATAAGCCAGTGCTTCCATCCTCTGAGAAGTGCCTGGCAACATAAACTGACCTCGAAGGGACTGGAGGCCTGATTGACCAAGACGAGTACCGATCCAGAATTCCCTGTACCATGCGCGCGTGTTAATGTACCACTTGTCACTACACCACCTCCGCTACGAATATAACAGCTTTGGTACTGCAGGAAGGAAGTCAAGCAAGTGACATTGTACTAAAATCATCGACGCCTCCACTCCCTTTTCATGAGTAGAATTGGATAGCAATGACAATTAGTAAGGGATGATACACCCCTGGTTTTCCACAAAAAGTTTTTTTAACTGTAGTTCCTTATCATTTATCAACATAATCAAACACATGCTCAAAATATCGCAACACTACCAATTGATACAATATACAAACAATATAATCACAGAGGATTATCACATAAAATACATCATCTTATCACATAGAATTCTTACCTACTACAGTCTCTATTGATGGCAAGCATTTTCATAGTAAAGTGAATATCCTTGAGTATGGTAGCGTGATTACCATAAATTCCAGAGAAAAAATATCACAGAAAATACAGGCTATCGAGTTTCACGTTACAACTATGTGAAAACTACCGCATAGAAAAACTTACAAAATACAAAGGGGAACAGTAGCTAGTCTAAACGTTTCTCAACCAGTAAGTATGATACGACGACACCAAATCACTCCGCTATCCCAACTACCAGTTTCCACCTATCACGCAACATTTTTAACATCTTCAGTGACCTCAGACAAGTGTTGGGCTGTTTCTAGACATTCTTGTAACGAGTAGGGACGGAAAGCATGACCAGCACCTTGATAGAACTTGGACTGGAACTCTACCCAATGCAGTCGAAGGGCATGTAGAAATGCCGATAATCCTTCCATAATCACCAGTATCGATAGGGACAACACGGCAAAAAAGAAGAAGACCTAGGATGAATAGTCAACATGTCAAATAAACAGCTTTTTAACCAAGATTATAACGAGAGCTAGCTCGGGAGAAAGGAGGGCTCCGGTCTAAACAATGCTAAAGAAACTGGAATGCATACTAATTGTAGAATACTCTAAGAGATACTCTTGGAAGAGAAAGGTTACTTCCAGAAATCTCCCCATATATAGCCGGGAGTAACCTACAGCTGGTACCAGCCACCCACTCAGTAACCTATAGCATTTGGAATCCTTCACCCACAGAAACCCTCGATTAACGAGAATAAGAATTTTTAACTTGCCCTAATAAAGGTCATCCTCTTGTTATCGAGTACAGACTATCTCCGATCTCCACCCGCCTGCTTCCAAAGGTCAAGCATCTCTATTTCTATCGAAGGGCATAGACGTACTTTGTCTTTGGCAGTAAACGTGAGAAGGACTAGATGATAATCCATGGGAAAGCCGATCATCAGTTTTCATTCAATTTTAAAACTTACCACATATGACAATATTGAAGACGTGATAAGGTTTCCACCGGCCGATAGACCTCGGATCAGAACCATTTCCCATAAGACTTCAGAAAGCTCTAAAAAAAGGATTATGTAAAAAAAAAATGGTCCTCTGAGCTGCCAAAATTAGAGATTTCTCCTTACACCCTGGGCACACGCCACTTACAACTATCATGGCTTCGTTTACCAACAAAAGTATTCCTGATCAGACCGAGATGGTTCAATAGCAAGTGGCGCCTCATCACATGCATGGTTAAGGAATTAAAGCCGTGAGAGATATTCGTACAGGCCAACTAAGCGTTCCATCATTCCGTAGCTTAGGCCAGGCTTATTGGGGAGGATAAAGGCAAGTGGATTAGAAATCTAGCCATCAGGCGGTAAGTCCTTGTATAGGCGAAATACGCATTTGTAACGCCGCTACAATGCTGAATGGAAGTCGAATGCGGGCCGCATCCCAATCGCGAGATGGGCAAACGTCAAAAACTTCATTCTTTACTTAATGGCACCCTAACAATTCAGTTTCTAGAGGATAGTTTCAGTTATTATTGATATTACTGTATTGTAATGTACAGCTCTGTGTCAACAGACAGTAGTCCAGCTGTTGCTGCTCCTCCACCTGCATTCGAGTCAGAGTTAAGGTTTACCCAGGACAAACACAAATTTCGAGACCCTTTCAGAATCTCCTAATGTAGCTGTGCTTTCATAAAAAACTGTAAGGAGCCTCAGAGACCACAGCTGCTTCGAAATTTCACCTTACTCAGGATCTTCTTGTTCAGCTGACAATAAAGTGGTAAGAAAGGTCAGATCGAAAAAAAAAACTAAGCTGCCACCTACAGAGGAACACTTAGAAACGAGTAATTCAAAACTTTCATACTCAATTGTCCCTCCAACAATGATTTTGTTCGCATTTGAAACAATCATATAGGTAGAGATACTAATAACACAAACACAATGGCCCAATATAACTTGAAGCTCCGTAAAAGTAAGGGTTAATCGATTGACACTCACGAGCATGCGCTAAACTGAGAGCCCATAATCGAAGATATGATGCCGTGTGAGAGACACAACCCAAGACAAACTCGATTGTATGAATGGCTTGATGCAAAAATTCGTCCTTCACAGAATGCTCATGCAGAAAGCGGTCGATTGCCAGCAAATGCTCCGAATCATCCTAAAAACTGCTTACAAATTTAATGACCTCAGAAACGTCTTTCAGAGGCAATCGAAAACGGATAGTGGGAGAACAAGATTGGCAGAAACCTAGGTGAATCATCAGTACAAAAAAAACGCAACTTCGTCTCAAATCGTTCAATGCCAATGCCTGGCTGGCTTGTCACGTTGTATGTGTGAGGGATGATAAACTCAAAGGCACAGTTCACGATAATTCAATGGGCGGGGACGTCAAACTCCGGGCCTTCCCGCCTCTCGGTAAATGTCACGTTAGACGTCAGAGACGAGTGTCGAGATACTACAGATTGCAAATTTTCGTTCTAGGACCCACACACAATCAGCTGTTGCCGAGTAATGAGGCGATGTTTTTCATCCATTCTTTTTTCCTCTGCTATTCTTATTGCTGCCGCTATCCCTTATTCAATTTCCTACCCCGAGAGGCTGAAAAAGGTGAGCTACTTTTGCTGTTACTAGGGTTTTTTTGTTTACTTATGCTTATAAGTGAATGAATTTTCGCTTACCATTGTCTTTTATTCGCACCAGGACCCCCACGTACACAGTGAGACACATGGTATAGCTCGTCCAAACGCCTCACCCTTCTCCATTTTCTGAACTCATTCTCGTCCAGCCCCCTGTTTTTTTCCTTTTTTTCACAATTTTTCGAAGCCTTTTTTCAGTTTGGGAACACCGATTCACGCGATTTCTCCACCTTCATCGCACTGTATTCGATCTTGGTCCATTTTTCATAATAATCTGGACTACCCAAAATTATCGTGAACTGTGCCTTTAAAGCGGGAGCTGTCTGTCTTTGAATTATTGAGGACCTGAAAGCCATTTAGAATTCGGAACATGCGATTCTTATCCCTTTTAGCGAGATTAGAGGGATCTCGGTGTAGGGAATACAGAGAATGGCTTTCAGATCCTCAATAACGGTGAAAACAAAATCGGGTTCAAGCTCTGGACCCTCAATAATTTCTGAGAGCGACTTTGAGTCGGCAGAGGCATCGTGAGAAAAGGAATATAAATGTTCAAGCTACAGTGCCTTACTCACTACTACAAACTGCAAGCATTCGATCGAATCTGTAGGGGAAACAAGAATAACTCGATAACAACTATAACATTATTTTGCTCAGTTGCAGTAAAGAGAATTATAGGCCGCATAAGGTGGACGAACTTGATGCATTCACTCCTGAAAAGTATGAGAAACTCACTCCTAAAATCCCGTTTAGAAATTTTCGTCGCCCGGCCATTTTCTTCTGCTCGAAGTAAGCCGCCAAGGGGCGCCCTGCTAACATGACAGGGATACAGGATAATGCAGTGATAAGCAAACACTTTTCGACGAATTCCTAAAATAATTTTTTTTTTCATTGGCGTCCCAGTTCAAGTGGTTCCTGGATATTCCGCTGCGCTATCTAGATATCTCGAAGTCAAGAGGTTTTTCAACTTTTTCTAGGGAAATTCATTCCTACTTGCCTGAACTCAGCCAATTACTGATGAATCCATCATTTTACAAAAGTGCTATGAATCACCGCTTCGCGATTCTTTAAAGCAAAACTATCCGGTGAGTCACGTGGAATTTTCTTTTTTAGAAAATTTCACATCAAAACTGCACGAACAGTCAATCAACGAATCTCAAGGCAATACATCAAATTTCTGCTTAGAACCCGCAAGTTAACGGTCGATATATTAGGTCGTGAAGAAAGTTCTTGCGGTTTTGCACCTCAAACTTCAAATGCATATATCTCGGCTTGAACGGAACTTCATCAATCGAAATAACAACCATTACTATCGACACACTTTTGTTAACGAAAAACAAGTTCGAGTATCCCATTCGCATAGGAGTCCGGAAATCTAGAGGCGATGAAATCGTCGAATGCCGCGGCAGCATCATGTTGGGTTTTGAAGCATTTCTCCTTGAGAAAGAGTCGAGATGTTTAAAGAAACGGTAGTCTATGGGAGCAAGGTCTGGGGAATATGGTGGATGCGGGAGAGCTTCATAGCCTAGCTCCATCAATTTTCTCAGGGTAAGTTGTGCGACGTGACGCCGAGCGTTGTCGTGGAGTAGAATTGGCCCCCTCCTATTCACCAGTGCCGGGCTCATGAGCTGGAGTTTTCGATGCATTTCGTCAATTTCTTGGCAGAACTTTCGGCTGTTGCGGTTTCTCCCGGATCCATGAAGCTGTGGTGGATCAGCC